TAACACGATTCAAAACCTATGAGGCTGTGAACAAAATTCCAAGAAAGTGAGATTAAATTATTTGTGTGTGTATATACAGAGATTAAGTCCTTGGTTTTCATTTTCTTATTTTTCTATTTTATTCTTAGGACAAAGGCCATAGAAGTAAAATGAGAATAAGCTGATGTTCAGAAATAGGAGAAGGGGTTATGTAATTACATAGAGAGAAGAGAAGGAGAGATAGTAATGACGCATGTTCAGAACATGACGAGGGAGTTATTGAATGTTTCCAAATAAGAATTTTCATAAGTCAAGGAATTATTTTATTCCAGTAAATAAGTCTTTATTCCAGAAAAAGTCTCCTTTTTGTCCCTTGTGAAAGACGTCTTAAGTACTTTGATTAAAGGATTGTTTTGCTTAATTTCCCCCCACTATTCCATCACAGGCATTTTTATCATCTCAAAAGAATTGGACTGTATAGCATAAGCAGTTACTATTACAAATGTCTTTCCCCTTCAGTCATCATCCTCTTGAGATCTACCAAAGTAATACATGAAATAAGTTAGCATGCTTTATTAGTCCCCTGGTCTAAAATGTTGCCTATTCTGAGAGAAAGAACCAGTATGTAAGATTTGTGAAAGTTACAGAATGGGCAGTTAGAATGGGGGGGAGGGGAGTATATTACTTATTTCCTTTGTGAACTTACTTAATCTTTTTCTATACAGATGTAAAATTTCTAAAATGAAAAAAGATTTTGTTTCTCTGATACCATCATTGTTGTCAACGAATTTATGAAAAAGTGTTAAGTGCCCAATCACAGAAGTCAACATCCATAAGGATTATAATTTCTTTAAAAGTTGAATAGACCTGGTCCTTATCATCATGAAACTTAAACCAATAGGCCAAATGAGATGTGGGCATCTCTTCCATGGTCATCAGGGAAGGCTTTGTGGATGAGCTTTGCTTTCAGGAGTTTTTAAATAAGGGGAAGAATGGCTAAGCAGTTGCAGAATAAATGGTGTTTATTAAATGGCATTGCTTTGGAGAGATTCAAGGGTGGCAGGGATTGAACTAGTCCAACAGTCTGTCAGTCTGGCATTGGTTGGCTGCCAGTGGAATAACTATCCTCACATCTCTCGTAGGGAATGAAGATGGGGAATAAGCATGGAAAGTCTGCCTACCAAAAAGCTTCGGGAGGCATAGCCCAAACTATTTTCTGAAGAGATGTGGCTCTGCCCATATACATAAAGTTCATAGAAGCGTGAAAAAAAGGACAGAGCAATCATAGCAGTTTGATCAAGATAACCAGCCAAATTCAGATAAGTTAGTGACAGTCATATGTTTGTCAAAATTTCCCTCTATAATGCATGTATATTAGCCAACTTTAATCCAGTTGGTGAAATAGGTGGTATAAGTCATTCTAATTATTAGAATGCTGATAATGATATAAAATGGTATAAGCCATTCTGATTAGCTATAAAGGATAAAAAGAATAAAGTATTAATAAAATGTCAAATCAAACATTTGTTGTAATCTGGGTTAGCAAGGTAATGTGAAGATCTATTTCACATTTTCAGTTTAGTAATGTAGGATTTAGTTTCTTCCAATATTCATTTCCAGACTTAAAAAATATTTAGCTACATCTTAATTTTGTAGTTTTAAAACACAGAAGTCTCTAAGGGGAAAGAAATAAACTCCATGTTACTCTACAAAAGCAGAAATGAGAAAAGATAGTGATTCTCATATAAAATCTAATGAAGCACTAATATTTCTGATTATCTCTTTGAAAAGATTCATTATTTCAGAATTGTTAGCCAAGTCTAATAAAATCCCTCTAAATTTGTCTCTCTGATCATAGCTTCCTCCTCTTTTACTTCTTCACTCCTTCATTCCAACTTCATTATTTCCTACCTCCCATGGAGAGCTCTAAGCCCACAATCCCTGTCTCAATCTAATTTATCGGCTTCCTACCTCCATATCCAGCCTAGACAGACCCATTGGTCTTCAATTCCACCATGCCCTTGACAGAACTCTCAGACACCTTTTGACCCATAGATCAATCCAATTATCCACTATATTATGGTCCTACATGTGGCAGCCAGGCGGATTGCTGCCAGAATAAATACATGATCTTCCAGAACTGCAGCCATTTTAGTGCCACTCAGAAATTCCTTTTCCCGGCCCCTGGTCAGTTCACTCTCTCATTTACACCATGACTGTCAGAATAACCTCTCTACTCTTACTCACCCTTCCATACATTCTCTGAATGATGGCATTTGTCCCACTTAGAGAAAATAGAGATGATCTCTCAACTTCAAGACCTCCCAGCCTACAGATTTATTTACACACTTTCCAGATTTACACTGTTTTTCCTCCCAATTAAGGCCAATTTTCTTGTGAATGTTCTGGATCTTATCTTCTGTTTCCTAAGTGATGTGGTTCTAGCAGTTGGGTCACCACTGTCCTACCCTCCCACTTCTTCACCCTGTCTCTTTGTATTTCCTTTTCCTATAGTTATAAACATGCACAATGATCTCCAGCTAACAAAAAATAACAATAAATTAAAACAAAACAAACACCTCCCCCAATAAAATATTCCCTAATTCCAGGAAAGTCAGCTTTTTTCCTAGCCCTCTTATTTTCCCCTTTTTACAAAAATGATTATTTTTTTTTAAGATTTTATTTACTTATTTGACAGAGAGAGAGAGAGAGAGAGAGCACAAGCTGGGGGAGCAGAAGTGGGAGGAGAAGCAGGCTCCCAAGGAGCAGGGAGCCCAATGTGGGACTCGATCCCAGGACCCCGGGACCATGACCCGAGCCAAAGGCAGACGCTTAACCGACTGAGCCACCCAGGCGCCCCAAAAATGATTATTTTTTAAATAATGCCTATTTATTTATCATGATAGAAATTCAGTTTCATTATTTTTAAATGAAAAAACAAATAGAAAAATCATAGTTAAATGCATTGTTAATACTTTTCAGCATTCAGGTAGTCTCTTTTTATCTTTGGGGACATTATCTTTTAAGTAATTATAATAAAAGATAGATAAACATATATATATATTGATTTTTTATATCCTTTTTAAATTTTTTAATTATTTTTTAAAAGATTTATTCACCCATTTTAGAGAGAAAGAAAGAGCATGAGCGGGAGGGGCAGAAAGAGAAAGAATCTCAAGCAGATTCTGCACAAAGCTTGGAGCCCAATGTGGGGCCTGATCCCACAACCCTGAGATCACCATCTGAGCTGAAGCCAGTTGCCTGATGCTCAACCAACTGTGCCACCCAGGCACTCCTATATCCTTTTTTAAATTAAAAAAGTAGTAAGGATTTCTGGACAAGATGATAATATATTCTCCTCTAAACACAAAATTACCAAAAATAAAATATAAAAAAAGAAAAAATTAAAAATGTTAAGCCAGCAAATCATATATTTAATAAGAGATTAATACCCAAAATATATGAGGAACTCCTGTGACTCAAAAACAGCAAAACAAAAAACAAAACCAAAAAAAACTCTATTAAAAAATGAGCATCTGGGGGTGCCTGGGTGGCTCAGTCAGTTAAACGTCTGCCTTTAGCTCAGGTCATGATCCCAGGGTCCTGGGATCGAGCCCCACATCGGGCTCCCTGCTTGGTGGAGAGCCTGCTTTTCCCTCTCCCTCTGCCTGCCATTCTGCTTACTTGTGCTCTCTCTCTCTGTCAAATAAATAAAGAAAATCCTTTTTGAAAAAATGAGCATCTGTCTGGAAGCCCACTCAGAAAAAAAAAAAATGAGCAAAGAACTTGAATAGACATTTTTCCAAAGAAGATATATGTATATGGCCAGTAACCACATAAAAAGATGTTCAACACCACTAATCATTAGGGAAATGCAGATCAAAACCACAGAAAGATGCCACCTCACATTCATTAGAATGGCCACTATAAAAAAAAAAAAAACCAGAAAGTAACAAATGTTGGTGAGGATGTAGAGAAATTGGAATGCTTATACATTATTAATGGGAACGTGAAATGGTGTAGCTGTTATGAAAAACAATACGACAGTTCCTCAAAAAATTAAAAATAGAATAACCACATGGTTCAGCAATCCCACTTCTGGGTATATACCCAAAAGAACTGAAAACAAGAACTTGGACAGATATTTGTATACCCATGTTCATGACAGCATTATTCATAATAGCCAAAAAGTAAAAGGAAATCAAGTGTCCATCAATGAATAAATGGATAAACAAAATGTGCTACATCTATACAATGGCATATTATTCAGCCTTAAAAGGGAAGGAAATTCGACTCCTGTTGGAACATGGATGAATCTTGAAGACATAATGCTAGGTAATACAAACCAGGTACAAAAGTATAAGTACTGTATGATTCCATTTGTATGAAGTACTTGTAATAGGCAAATTCATAGACACAGGAAGTAGAATGGTGGTTTCCAGGGATTGGGGAGGGAGGAATGGGAAATTATTGTTTAATGGGTACAGAGTTCAGTTTTGGACAATGAGAATAGTTCTGGAGATGGGTGGTAGTAATAGCTGCACAATGAAAATGTAATTAATACCACTGAACTGTACAATTAAAAATGGCTAGGGTAGTAAATTTTATGTTACATGTATGTATTTTACCATAATTTTTAAGAATTAAAACTTAAAAAGCATTAGCCAGGCTTCAAAAATGATAATACCTCTGTGACCAAAAATGAAAGAAAAGCAAAGCTATGAACAGAACTGAAGTGACCTCTTGTGTATGTGTTTGAGGTGGGAGAATATAAAAAAATCATGAGAGAAAAGCAAAACAAAATAAAAACTATGAAAAAATCTATTCTGTCCCATGTACATTAACTCCAATATTTATAACACCTTACAAAGTAAGGAATATTATCCTCACCTTACCCATGAGGAAAGAGATTGAAAGGCCTTCAGTAACTTGTATAAAGTCATACAGTCAGAACCAGCATTCAAACCAAGACGGGTCTAACTCTACTGTCTTTTTTTTTTTTTTTTTTTTTTTAAATTTTATTTTAATTAGCAAACCTGGGAGGGGGAGCCACATTAGAACTCAGAGACAAAGGTGGAGACCCAAAAATCAGCTGGTTTTTCCTTGTCAGGCTGGAGGAGAATTTCAACCAGACCACATCCATTCCAGCTCTGGAGACAGTTTACTCTTTAAATCCTGATTCCAGGTACGTTGGTTGCAAACTGGCTTCACTTCATCCAAGGACCTAGCTCTAGGGCTTTCATGGCATCCTCAAGTTTGAGCATCCCTCGTTCCTGTCGCTGGCGGTGCCATTCGGCCATGGACTGGAGCATCCACCTGGCCCTGAGCTTATACAAGTAAGAGCCATAAACCACGATCTCGGTGAGGTCCGAGGATTCCAGAACCTTTAGCTCGAGCATGACTTTGCTCACTTGCTCGATGTACGGGATTCGAGATCCAGCTGGGCCAAACATAGCTTCCAAGAGCTGCGTCTGGACCTGCAACACCTCGGGATCTTTCAAGTCTTCGGGAGCTTTCACCCACGGTGGAATATCTTTTCGTTTTGGTAGCGTCCCCATCTGGACTGCCTCAAAACTTACCACACTCCAACCTAAGCTAGGCCTTCTACTGTCTTTTTTATAACCGTATATCCAAATGTCTTCAAGGTAGAGAAGACTACTGTTCGCTTGCTAATTGACCCTAAACTGATCATTTTATTAGAAAGTTGATACGCCCTGGGGGGAAAGTCTACATTTACTCAACAAATATTTATTAAACACTTAAATTATGCCAAGTACCGTTCTAGGTTCCACAAATATAACTATGAACTGGGACAAGGGTGGGAGAGAGAGAGAGAGAAAGGGAAGGATGGAAGGAAGTGAGAAGAGAGGAGGAAGACAGCCATGGTGTGCCTGAGCCAGAAACCATCAAAGGTCCATTGTGTGACTTCTAAAACACTAAAGAAGTCCTTCTTCAAGCAACCATTTGATTTTGGCACCTTCTCTGGATCATGAACTGTTCCTGCCCTCTCTCTATACCCACTCCGCCCCTACTGTCAATCTATTAGGGGAAAAATCAAAGTTACAGTCTGGTCTTTTATTGGTTATTATAAAAGAATTAATTCATCTTCCTCCTGCATAGATTACCACCTTAGTAGGGCTCTATGAAAACAGAAAAGCCACTTAAAAAGACCCAAAGGAATGAAGTTATTAACATAAAAAGGGGGACAATGGAACAAATATTTGGGGAAAGTAAAGCTTGACCCCTCAGATCACCCCAACTGGATAACACTCTAATCTTAATATAAATGTTACTGCTTGTAACAAAAGAGTTCACTCTGTCCTTTGACCAAAAGAATAAAGGTATAAAAGAAGGTGATCTTTTGGGCAACACTCTCGGGTCCCCTCCCTCTTTGGGAGCTTTGTACTATCACTCAATAAACTTTGCTTTGCTGTCCATCAATAAAAGAAGAAGAAGAGGAAAGAAGAAAGAAGAAGAAGAAGGTAACCTTTTTTTCTGTGTATAAGATTCAATACAGATTAGTGTGATTCAACAAACATTTCTTGATATCTACTCTGTGTCAGACATTATTAGGTACAGGAAATATAGAGGTGAGTAAAGTGACTGCATTCAAGAAGAAATCTATAGAGACAGACCAATAACCAAACTTCATATGAGATACCATTACACATCCACCAGAATGGCTAAAATTAAAAAGTCTTATAACACCAAATATTGATGAATATGTGAAGCAAAACTTTTTGGTAAGTGTAAAATAAAATGGTAAAGCTCCTTTGGGGGAAATCTTGCAGTTTCTTGTCAAACTAAATGTAAATGTTTATGACCCAGTATTTCTGATCCTAGCATTTACCCAAAAGAGTTGGAGACCTGTATCCACAAAAAGACTTATACAAGAATATTCACTGTAGTTTTATTCATAATAGCCAGAAACTGGAAATAGCCCAAGTATGCATCAGTTAGACAATGGGTCTAAGTAAAAGTTATGTATCTATACACTGTAATTTTACTCAGTAATATAAAAAGAATGAGCTTCTGATTCATACAACAAAATGAGTGAATCTCAAAAACATCATACTGAGTGAGAGAAGTCTTACAAAAAATTATATACTGTCCCATTAATATAAAGTTCTACAACATACAAAGCTAGTTGGAAAAAAAAATCAGAACAATCTTTGTCTCTGAAGGGAGAGGAAGTGGGGATTTCCCGAGAAGTGGCATGAGTGAACTTTGCAGGATAATGGTAATGTTGTATTTACACAGGGCGCCTGGGTGGCTCAGTTGGTTGAGCGACTGCCTTCGGCTCAGGTCGTGATCCTGGAGTCTCGGGCTCGAGTCCCACATCGGGCTCCCTGCTCGGCGGGGAGTCTGCTTCTCCCTCTGACCCTCTTCCCTCTCGTGCTCTCTATCTCTCATTCTCTCTCTCAAATAAATAAATAAAATCTTTTTTAAAAAATGTATTTAGGGTGCCTGGGTGGCTCAGTTGGTCAAGCGACTGCCTTCGGCTCAGGTCATGATCCTGGAGTCCCAGGATCGAGTCCCGCATCGGGCTCCCTGCTCGGTGGAGAGCCTGCTTCTCCCTCTCCCTCTGCCTGCCTCTCTGCCTACTTGTGCTCTCTCTATCTCTGTCAAATAAATAAATAAAATCTTTAAAAAATAAAAAATAAATAAATAAAATGTATTGACACAGAAGTTGAAGTTGCTCAAGAATGTTTTTAGGGTCTCTCATAAGATACTTAAGATTTGTGCATTCATGGTCACAGGGTGGTGCACACCAGGACACCCCTGGTTAGCATCCACTATAGCTCCAGGCTTGGTAACAAGTTGACACAGGTGCAAAGCACCCCAGAAAATTCTAGACTCACACTACTTTGGCTTGGGAAGGCACATTTGGCTCAGAGTGCTCTGGAACCTCCCAGCTAAAGTCTGCTTCAGATCCAGCCACCCTAACAGGGTGACACCTGTGAAAAGCACAATAGGAAACCCCCAGCCCATGCCTGCATTCATTCTAGCTACCCCACCAGAGCACCCCCTTCTCAGAGTACCGGGAACACCTCCACCTGCACCAGCGTCAGCTTCAGTTGCCCAGCCAGCCCCACCCCCATGCACTGAGCACCCCAGGACACCCCAGCTTGCACTCAATTCAGCTTCAGCTGTCCTGCCAGGTTGCCCTTAGTGTGGAGAGCTGCAGGACAATCCAGCTTGTACCCAATTCAGCTATAGCTGTCCTGCCAAGACACATTTGTCATGGATGGCCCACGGACCACACTGGCCCACACCCAGTTTAACTTAAGCTGTTCTGCCAGCATGTACCCTGTTTGGAGTGCCCCAGGATCCCCCAGGCCTGCATTGCACCTTGGTTCCAATCACCCCTCCAGAGCACCCTCTGTGTGGAAAGCCCTAGAACACCCAAGTTTATACCCACTTCAGCTTCAGCTACCCTGCCAGGGCTCCCTCAGCACAGAAAGCCCCAGGGACTTCCCAGCCACACCGCACCTCAGCTTCAGCCACCCTGGTGGAGCACCTTCTATGCAGAAAGCCCTGGAACTCTCTGGCTTGCACCCACTTTAGCCTTAGATGTCCTGCCAAGGCCCTCACTGCATGAAGAGCCCAGGAACAACACTGATCTGTGCTCACTTCAACTTTAGCTATCCTGCTAGGGACCCCACTACATGGAGAGCCCCATGACACCCAACCTACACCAGTTACAGCTCCAGCTAGCCAGAAAAACTCACCAAGCACACACAGTCTACATAGGGGATGACCATATACAAGACCATTCCTTCAGGTTTAGGAGAAGTAGCTGTTCTGCCTAATCCACAGAAACAACTATAGAAGGTTATACAAAATGGGGAGACAGAGGAATATGCTCCAGAAGAAAGAACAAGACAAAACCTCAGGAAAAAAATAATAATGAATGCTATAGAGATAAGCACTATGCCCGATAAAGAATTGTAATGATAAAGATACTCAGAAGGCTGGAGAGAAGAGTGGAAAACCCAGAGAAATCGTCAATGAAGATAAAGAAAACACAAAAAAAGACCCACTCAGAGGTGAAGAATACAATAACTGAAAAAATACACTAGAGGAAATCTACAGTGGATTAGTACACACAGAACATATCAGTGAGCTGGAAGACAGGATAATAGAAAGCACCCAAGTTGAACTGCAAAAAGAGAAAAGAGTTTATTAAAATGAGGATAGGTTAAGGGATCTCTTGGACAACATCAAGCCGTTAGAGGGGTCCCAGAGGAGGAGGATGAGGATGAGGAAAAGGAAGGAGAAGGAGGAGAGGAGGAGGAGTAGAAGGGGGAGAGAAAAGGACAGAAAACTTATTTGAAGCAATAATAGCTGAAAACTTCCCTAACCTGGGGAAGGAAATAGACATCCAGGTTCAAGAAGTGCAGAGCATTCCAAACGAGATGAACACAATGAGATCCACGCCTTGCTACCTTATAATTAAAATGTCAAATTTTAAAGATATAAAGAGAATTTAAAGAGCAGCAAGAGAGAAGCAAAAAGTTACCTGTAAGGGAAACCCTATAAGGCCATAAGCTGATATTTCAGCAGAAATTTTGCAGGCTAGAAGAAAGTGGCATGATATATTCAAAGTGGAGGGTGGGGGCAGGTGGAGCTACAACCAAGAATACTCTACCCGGCAAGATTATCATTCAGATTTAAAGGAGAGCTGAAGTTTCCCAGACAAACAAAAGTTACAGGAGTTTATTACCACTAAACCAGACTTCAAGAAATGTTAAAAGGACTTCTTTAAGTGGAGAAGAAATTAGACATAAGAAAATCATGACTAGGGGCTGGGCCTGGGTGGCTCAGTCATGAAGTGTCTGCCTTTGGCTCAGGTCATGATCCCAGGGTCCTGGGATCGAGCCCCGCATCAGGCTCCCTGCTCAGCGGGAAGCCTGCTTCTCCCTCTCTCACTCCCCCTGCTTGTGTTCCCTCTCTCACTATCTCTCTGTCAAATAAATAAAATCTTAATATATATATACATTTATATATATATATATATATATATATATATATGCCACATATTGGACAAGCTAGAAGAAATGAATAAATTCCTAGAAACAATCTCCCCAAAGTGAATGAGGATGAAATAGAAAATATGAACAGACCAGTTACTAGTAATGAAATTAAATCAGTAATCAAAATACTACCGAAAAATAAAAAGTCCAGGACCAGATAGCTTTACAGGTGAATTCTACTAAACATTTAAAAAAGAGTTAATAATATTCTTCTCAAATTATTTAAAAAAAAAATAGAAGAGGCAGGAAAGCTTTCAAATAATTTTCATAAGGCCAGCATTACCCTGATACCAAAACCAGATAAAGATACCACAAAAAAAGAAAGCTACAGGCCAATATCCCTGATGAGCATAGATGCAAAAATCCTCAACAAGGGATGCCTGGGTGGCTCCGTCAGTTAAGTGTCTCCTTCAGCTCAGGTTATGGTCCCAGGGTCCTGGGATGGAGCCCCACATCAGTATCCCTGCTCAGCGGGGAGTTTGCTTCTCCTCTCCCTCTGACCCTCCCCTGTTTGTGTGCTCTCTCTCTCAAATAAAT